CTGTAGCCTTGTCTAGGACAGACTTCCCATTGGGTCTATAGATGCAATTTTGTGCTTCTGCTCCCTGTCTGTGGAACAAGGAAGGAATAACAACGTGTTTCAACCTTGTGGGTGCATTGGGAAAATAGATTCAGCCTTGGTTTTGAAATACACATCTACTGTGGTAATTAGAACAATACAATTGCAAATAAAAACAGGAAGAAGAAAAGCACCTAAGCCACAAAAGGATTTGTCTGATGTGCAGCAAATGAGATATGGGACCACAGACTACGTGAAGAAGTTAAGAGAAATATTGAACAGCTGCTTTGCTACACAGTCCTACAAAATGAAATGACATCCTACAGGACACCAGTGCAGGTCCTCCAATGCCCAGGAGGGCAGAGCTAGGGTTGCAGGGATTGTAACAGTGCTGTTGTTTCCTTACTCCCAGGAGCTGCATTTTCCACCTTGATGGCTTTCCTAATGTAATCACTCTTTATGTGATGATTTTTTAGAGCTTGATTCTTGCTAGTGTAAATCAGGAGGAACCCCCAGCAACTCCAACCAAATGGTCTCAGTGCAAATATTTTGGGAGCCACAGCAGAGCCAGGCCTGCTCAGTCTGTAACCTTCTTCTTCAAATTCTGCAACAAATGCCCATGCTGGAATGGCATGTAGGTATCAGATGAAAACACAAAACAATGACAACAGTGCATTTCTCAGTAGCCACATCATATTATGTCATTGATGTCAGATTGAGTTATATTAGTCTGCTTTTCATTATGTTGTGTTATGCCTTTTGACATAATGCAACGCGCTGTAAGTAACATAAAGTGACCTCCAAGTATAAAAGAGTACACAGTTTTTGTCAGATTAGATAGTGGCTATGAATTCTCAGAGAGGGAGGGGTAGCTCAGAGAAGGTGGGTTTGCATTCAGTGTCCTGAACAACAAATGCACAGAACTTAATTAACAGTTACAGCAGCCCTGGCTGTTTCCAAAATGGTGTTTGTGTCTCTGCTCAACAGAGAGAGGAGATTCACAGTGGGATTTGCACTGTTTAATTTATATAAAATTCTGCAGAGGTGTCTGTAATAGCTTCCTTTCTGTACCTGTACTGCAGGAGCTCTCTACACAGTGAACATAAGATTCACTTGCCTGAGATTTGCTTTGTTACCAGGCTCCAAAATGCAGTATTGAGACCAGACTTGCTGAACAGCACGGGGTAACCTGTCCTCTGTATGAAGAATTTAATCAGCTACCGAGAGAGCAACTGTACAGAGAGAAGAAAAGGGCATCATCATGGCTCTTAAAAGAATGGGAGCTCCTGATAAATTTGAGGTGATAAAGGAAAAGTGTGTGGTTCAAGGCAAGTTGCTAATTTTCTTTGGAGGGCTTGAAATCCACCTTATCGTGGTGGTTCTGTCTGGTGGCTTTGCTGGAATTAGCTGATGTTCTCCCCTTAGTGCCTTGGCTTATAGTCCTGACCCAGAGTTTGCTCAGCTCCAGGACTGGCACAGAAACTGGAGTCCTTTGGTGGGAAGGATGGAATGCAGCTCTCTTAAAGGTCAAGGCATTGTTCCCACCTATTATCAGGATGTTCCCAAGCCAGATTAACTGCTGCAGGTCTCCTTCTGAAGGCATCCACTCAAAGGCAGGCCAGGAGACTCTGTAGGCAGGAGCAGAGCCATGCTGTGATATGAAGTTAGTCTCAAAACTTGCAATAACCTGCAGTAGCCCCAATACTTACAGAAGTATTTACCATACATTTCCTACAGAGCATATTCAGCATTAGTGGATTCTTTTTTTTCTTGCTGCAAAAAAAGGCTACATTCCATTTATCACTGCATCTGGCATCCCATCTCCCCACAAGGATTGTCCCCAGGACCTCTTTAGGGGACAAATTATTTATTTTTGGTCCCCGTCTGCCTTTTTAGATCATGAATGTTGTACAGATCAGAAACATTCTCATGATCAGTCTCAAAATTGCAAAGGAACCTGAATACATTTGATGTGGGCTTCCTGAGCAGTAATAGATGTGGAATCTCACTTAAAAAGGTCTTTTAAGATTAAAATTTAACATTACAGACAGGAATAAAGTGTAACATCTTGTGTGAAAATGCGGCACAGGTGAGCACTTAGAACAGCACAGGAAACCAGAACCCAATGTGTCATGTGCATTTTATCATTTCTACATCTATAAATCCAGCATAAATTAATATCTACCTAATTTCCAGGTACACAACATTCCTTTAAGGGATGCATGGGATGCTGCCCTTGTTCATTAGGCCATTAAATATCAGAGAATGAGCAGTTACCTCTCCTGAGCAGTGAGCAATAAACCAGCTCCTCTTTCCATCCTGCCAAGAGACCTGTGCAATCAGACCCCTGTGACACCGACACCCACAGTGCTCTGCAGGACTGCACAGCTCTGCCTTGAAGTATCATTTCATGGCATCAGAGAGTCCAGAATTAAACATGAAACATTCTGCTAATCCTTGTTAAGTTGACAAAGAAAGCTGCTACCCCGTACTTGATCAGCTCCTAAAGAAAAGTGTTCCCTTTGGTAGGACATCAGACTGTGCTCATGGCCAGGCACAGAGACTCAGCACTGGGAAATCTCACTGAGATTTGCAGCCAGGCTGCATCTCAGGAGACTTCCTATTATTATTTTCTTTACTAATAAATCATTATGTTGTCTCCTTCACAGCACAGAGAGTTCAAATAAACCTGTCCCTGTGACAATCTGACTCTCTGAAGGAGTGTCCTGTTCTGTTGAGTCATGTGAGAGGAAAATACAAAGTAGAAAGACAGATCAAAAAGGGGTAGCAGAAAGGGCCCTGGAGGCAGACTTAAGTTTGGTATTTAATATTTCAGGTAAAATATTCACTTAGCATCAATTATCTTGTTGGGCTCTTTTTTTATTATTTTTTTTTTCCTCCAAATGAAATTGCTTTCTGAATCAGCCAGCTCTCTAATTACCAGATTGAATGATTGAAATTTTTAGGGCAATTAAATTCAAGCCTTTCTTTTTCAGTCCTTATGTTATTCCCCCCTTCTCTCCCTCCCCTCTCCAGTCTGGAGCCTTTCTATAATTTGGAGGCAGTTGCAGAAGCAAGCAGACCTTTAAAGCCAAGATGTATGTCTCCCTTCATTCCTCTGTGGATTTGTTTCACCACTAAGCAGAGAGGGTTCTGGTCTCTCAGGACATGTGCATTACAAACACACAGCATTGTGTGGGTTTCATCCCAGTGTGTCATGTCATTTAAAAAAACAGCTTGGAAGGATTCATTTAATATAGAAATTCCGTGAAAAGATAAAGATCAGTGCAGAAAATACAGGCACTATTGGAAAATGCCTGCAGATCAAGCTACAAGACTAAGGAGCAAATTGATAATAACAATGATGATTGATGGTATACTAGATAAAAGAAAACAAAACTCCCAATAAAACAATACAAAAGTCTGTTAACAGAGCTGCTAGGACAAAACCATGAAATGGTTGGGTGAAAGGATAAGAATTCTTCCAAGAAAGGACACGAAATTCACAGGATGGAATCCCAGGCCCAGTGGACTCGGTGACAAAGTTGCTGCTCTTTTGTCTCTGTTTTGGGGATTAGGCACTGATCCTGCAGAACGAGTAACCACATTCTCACATGAAGGTTTGTGAGCTGTTCTGTGGATTTCAGTGGGACTATTCCTCCCTAAAAATTAAGTGGATGCTTAACAGCTTTGATGAATCAGGATCTAACCCAGTGAACACGATACATCTTTATCACAATGACCATTGGAAATCATGTAGGATTTCCCTCAGAAACCTCATCCTGAGCTTTTCAGGTTTCCAGACCCAGCCTAGGACACAACCCTGGGGCTGCTCTCCAGCAGGCACTTGCAGGCAGAGGGGCTGAGGGATTTATTTTCATGCTCTGGTACACTGGGGATTGGTATAATGTCACTAAGTCAGAACGATGAGCACCAGGCTAACTTCCAACGTGCATCCACGGCAATTTCACTAAAGCCAGATGAGCTTTATTATGCCTATTTATTACTTAATTATCCCTGTAGGTGTTTGAGGTGCCCCACAACAGCTAAAGCAGTCCTTGCCCTGAAGAGCACGCAGTCAGATCTAAGATTAGAGATGACAGCACTGCAAGGGGCTGGACCTGGAGAAAGAACAAGGTCCTCGTTCAACCAGAAACTTAAATGCACATCTGTCCCAAAGTTCAGTTCACTGGTTAAGCACTGCTGTGACTCAAGGATGGGGTGACTGACAGAGAGAATTTCAGATGCAGCTTCCTGAAAAACCTGCTGAATTTAATGTTTTGGTGTTCCTGTATAGAAAGTCTGAGAGCCACGGATCAGACCTTTAGGAACCATGATTTCATGTCAGTGGAATTATGCAATTTCACACTGGTTAATGTTTTGGCCCATTGCAGTAATTCCAGTGGATGGAATGTGTATTAATGTCCATGAGCATTCCCTGGGAGACACAGCCCTCGTGGCTCCTACGCTGCCTCCTGTTTCCTCCTGCTCCCACTGCCATATTCATTACCACACATCTCTTTTTTCATGCTTTGAAGTCCATGACTCTCCACCACTTTGCAGTATCTTGGGATATGGCCCCAGACTTCAGGCATGTCTATAGATTCAGGGAAAAGAGACCTGATCTGAGTCACTTTATTGCCATTTGCAGAGCAGTGCTTTTCCACCCTCCAGGTACAGAAGCAGTTCTGCAGAGCCTCAGAGGTTTTCTGAATGCCTGCACCAGGCTCTGGGGCTACTGAAGTGGCCAGGATTTATTGCTGGTTTCCCCAGCGTTTTCCCAAGGAGTGTGTTTCCCTTCCTGCTTTTTCAGGATGCCATGTCCACTTAAAATCTTCCAGTGCATGCCCTGTGTTCATTATTTAGCAGTACATGGGAAAACCCCTTCAGCTCCAGCTTGCTGTGAGGGCTGTACAATTGTATCCCAACTGCCTCCTCTACTTATCTGCTGCATTATTTCTGTGAAAGCAAAAGCTGTGCATGGAACAGATGCTTGGAATGGTATTGGGATCCAATTACTGCACTTTTCCAACCTTACATCTATTGTCTAAACTTGGAGCAGGCATATTTTTATTCCTTGGTGACACTATATAAAGAGACAATTGGCATTGTGTTTGCTGGCTGACTGGTTGGCAGAGAAGGGGTGGAAGGAGCAGCAGCACCATGGTAGGTTTTATCCTTCCCCATGCCTATTTATCTCCCTATTTCTTTCTGACTCTAATGATTCAAGCAGAGCAGGAACGATCACCCAGCATCCCATGAAATCTCATTTTAGCATCACATCCAGAATGCAGATATACCCCACAGAGTGAGCTGGGAGCTCCCCAGGACTGCTCTGCATGCATTTAACAAACGAGGAGGGCAGAGAACGTAGATGGATGTGCAGAAAGGAAGAGTTTGTGCAGTTCTGTCCCACATTCACACACCTGGCATGGCTGGTGTGAGATAGAATTGAGGTCTGCTGTGGTGTGATGGGGACTGAGGGAAAGGGATTGCTCTGGAACTGTGACTGTGGGGAGAAGTAGGAAGCACTGGAGAAATTTCTGTGTCTTGCCTTTGCCCTGCTCACTGTTGGCTTTTAGCTCTGGGACTCCACCAGCCACCTCACTCCATGTGATTCCAAGGAGCAAAGAATTCCTGCCTGAGGAAACATGGGCAGATTGGGCAGATCTTTGTCTCCTGCAAATTCAGAGGAACGACTATAACAATATTAGAAAAAAAAACAAAAAAAGAGCAGGTGATTTTGTCTTTATTTTGCTCCTTTTTCAGGTCCTTTTCAGGCTGTCTAAAAGCAATGCTGCCCAGTGGCTCCCTGGGGCTATGGAATATTTGATCGTGGAGAATACCAGAGAGGGAGTTGTATATGAAAAGCTTTCTCAAAGCTTAGTTCAAACTTGATCCTATTTAAGCAGGTGATGAATGTGATCCACGTGCTGTTCTGAGCAGGGCAAAACCACATTCAATGGCATTTCTAAAATCCATGCACAAAACAGGTTCCAGTTTCAGCCAGTGCCAGCCCAGTGCCAGTGGTTTCACACTCAGTGTTTCAGAAGGAACCAGTGCCTTGTGCTGATTATGCCTCTTCAGGTGTGGATTTACAGATTTCTCTTTAATCAGCCTCAGTAAAGTCTAAGCCAGCCTTTTTGTGGGGTGGGGGACAAGTGCTGGGTCTTAGCTTTTCTTTTTCCCCTCTTTTTTTTTTTTTTTCTTTCCAAAGATTTCACTTATCAGTTTTTTCCCTGCCTGCTTAGTTCAATGACACACCAACACTCACTGATGTTTGAAGATATTCCAGGACATTCTGTGATGAAATGCTTAAGTTAGGAGATGTGAAAATATAGTGAGAGACTCGTCTGTCTCCTGGCTCCCAGCTCAACTGACGATGCTCTGTGGTGGTTCTTTTCATTGTGCCTTTTGTTTTGGGAAAATCTCTTCTGAGGTACCTTACCATACAGGGACACATGAAACAGATTTAGAATGGAAAGAAAAAAATAGCCTTAATGAAAGAAAGCTGAAGAATATCTTTACATAAGGAAGTGATCATTTTTTATTAATCAGAGGGAAATGTATATGTAATTATGCTAGATGAACTCTGTGGGGAGGTTTTTTTCTCTTTATGATGTCTTAAGGGATTTATAAATATTACAGAGGTTTTATAGCATCATAATATTTCAGATGTGCAGTAAAGCTACTTTCAAAGGATTAGTGCAGACAAAGCAGCATAGTAAAAAATAATTACAAGTCAGCCAGTGCTACTAGGCTCTGACATCCAGGGCTGATGACAGTGAGAGAGGCAGGGTTCAGGGAGATAATTTTTCTAACAAGAGCAGACCACACAAGTGCTGTGGAATGGAGTTCTGAGAACTGTCTACGGCTCTCCGTTTATTCCAGGGAATTTCAGACAAGCTGGGTCTGTGATGTCTCCCCGCATGCTCCGTGCTGATGGGGAGAAGGAAGGGCAGAGGCACAAGGAAGGAGGGGGAAGCCTTTTTCTTATTCCCCAAACACTCCCGTGTTTGTTCAGTTCGAGTGACACCTCGCAGCACATTTCTGTGCCCAGAAATAGCCTGCACTCTGCTCAAGTGTGCTCTGCAGGCTGGAACGTGTCACCTGGGCTGGCACAGGCACTGACCACAGCACAGCCACGCTGACTGACCCCTGCAGCTCAACTGGGGCTGCTTGTGCCACTGCTGGTGTGTGTGAGAGAGTGTGTGTGTGAGTGTGTGAGTGTGTGTGTAAGTGTGTGTGAGTGTTAGAGTGTGTGTGTGTGTGTGTGTGTGAGTGTGTCTGTGTCCCTGTGTCCGTGTGTCCATGTGTGTCCATGTGTCCGTTTGTGTGTGTCCCTGTACCCCTATATCCCTGTGTCCCTGCATCCCTGTGTCCATGTGTGTGTCCCTGTGTCCATGTGTGTCCCTGTGTGTGTCCCTTGTATCCCTGTGTCCATGTGTCCCTGTGTCGGTGTGTGTGTCCCTGTGTCTGTCTGTGTGTCTGTGTGTCTGTCTGTCCGTGTGTCCGTGTGTGTGACAGCCCCGTGTGTGCAGACAGGGACCGCTCATCCGTTCCCATGAAGGAGGAGAAGGTTTGCTGGGCTGGACAAAGCAGCTGCTGGATTTGGGCTCAGCTGTTGGATTTGGGGTCCCCAAGGTGGAGGAGGCTGGGGAGGTTTTCTGCTGCTCTGGGATGGGGTTGGGGATGTCAGGAGGAGGCTGTGACTGGAAAGGGTTTTCTGTGGGAGGAGGAGAACGCTTCAGTGTCCAGGAGTGAAGCAGGGAGGCTGCAGGCCAACAGATTCTTGTATCTAGCAGGGATCAAAGGTGTGTCTGTGTGGGTGTGCACAGGCTGGGAGTACACACTAAATGGAGCGAGGATGAGAATGGAGGGATCTGTTTGTGACTGCAGAGCAGGTAATAAAAGGATCTTCTGTTTCTCAGTTCTGATAACGTGGTTTATTTGAATGATCTGAGGCTGCTGCCTGTTTGAAATGCAAATTGTGCCCTTAGAGCAGTTTGTGTTGCTTACTCCTCTAGACTGTTCCCTCAAAGGCATGCACTTGGGTTGGCCTTGTGCTGCTCACCTGCCATGGAAAGGACCTAAACCACTCTAAAAAATGATGGCCTGTCCATAGCTGGGATGTTTGGTGCAGATGCAGTGTAAATTATCTCAGCAGATCAAACCTGTGGGACAAAAATCAACAAATACCCTGTCCCATGCTACAGCAATCCCTTGTCCAGGTCTGAGGTGTAACTTCTGATTCAGAAGCCGTATTTAATGATAACAAAAATTTGAAGACAAAAAATGTCAGCACCGAGATCCCAGAGTGGATGAAAAACAAGGAGAGAGTGTGATGGATGAAAAAGTAATAGTAACTGAGAGTTAACATCATACAGTGGATCACAGCAGGGGACACAGTCTGAGCAAAGTGATGGATGATTCTGTCTTTTCTGTAGTTGTAGATGTAGTTGCAGAGGAAGGAAGTACAAAATGTGAAGCGTAAAAACCTGGTGGTATCTTATGTCTACCTTGTCCTGGAGTGAATAAACACTTAAGGGTACAAGACAACAGAATCAGGCTCTTAACAGTGTCCACTTCTGATTCTCCCTGCAGGGCTCTCTCCCTGCTTATCCACTGAGGTTGGTTTTGGTGGAAAAATTAGAAGACGCAATGAGTGGCTGAGTAGGGAAGTGTTTCTGCTTGTGTTTTTTGACTTTGCTGTCAGGAACACCACACTGTGTCCTCGTTAATTATTAAGAGTATTTTCTGTGGAGCTTAAAGCATGATCAAACCAAAGCTGTGGCTTGTGGCAGAGTGCTGCCCCTCTCTCTTGACTGCCTGTGGAGATGTTTCTGCGCTGCAGGAAATGCCAACTGGAGGTTGGTTAATTCCTACTTACTGGAGGGTGCCACTGTGCCCCTGAGCAGCCACTGAGGGACCCTGCTCACCCTGCAGCAACTTGCCAGGTTTTCCATATTTTTCTGGGTTGTCTGCAAAATGCACTGAGGGGTGAAGATGATAAAGCTCTGCAATAATCCAGTGTCATGGATCTGCTCTAGCATCACCTCTTTATGAATTTATCAGGGCAAACAATGCCTCATGTTCTGAAGTAAGAATAAGGTATTTTCATCTCCTTCCTCCTTTGTATGTAGACACAGAAACTGATTCCCTGCCCCGTTTTCTTCTAGGTGACCCTGAAATCAAATTTCCCTCTTCACTTGAACATTCCCCCCCGACACCTTTGCAGCATATAAGAAATGGATCCCTGTTCCTACATCCAGAGAGGCAAAGGCCACACAGACTCATTGGCTCTGCCTGCCTGTGTCCCTCCACACCCTGGTTCTTTTGGGCTCCCTGACTCTGCCAGAAAGGAGAAATATAAAGAACCTCAGTGAGGGAATCTCAGCTCAAAGAAAATGGCTGGTACAACAGAGTTTTCTTGGGACCAGATTTTGATATGGCTCCATTTCTTCATTTAAAGCCTCTAAAACAAACCAAAACCAACCAAACAAAACAACAACAAAAAAAAGACCCTTTAAAACCCAGGCTAATTGAAAGAGTGCTAACACTGGTAAGACAAATGAGTGATACGCGACAAGCCTGTGGTTTCTCCTCTAAAGTGAAGTGTTGTTTTCTTCACAATGGGATGATTAATACGCTCAGGCAGGAATATTAATAGGCTTGTTCAGTTGTTGCAACATTCTTCCCACTGCTGTGCTATTGAGGCCTCGGAATCCGAGCCCAGGGGACCCTCAGCTCTTCAGTTTCTCATCTGGCACGTTTTGTATGTCAGTCTCACAGCACATGTTGCAATGAGAGCTGCTCTATCTTTGCAAAGTGCAGCCTGGCACACTTTGGTTTCAAGAGTGGGGAAATCAAGGCAGGCAGAAGTGATGTGTCAGTCACCCACTTTCTCCTCTGTGGGTCACCTACTAAATCCTTGACGTCTTAGAAGCCACATGTTTGCTCAGTTCTGTGATGTTCCTTTTGATATGCCACTCTTTCAGAGAGAGACTCTGGAGTCAGAATCCTGATTGTGTTCATTAAAAAATTCTGGAGTGTTTGGAATTGTCAGACAGCAGCACAGAACTATTCTATTCTCAGAGTTATTCTTTTCTGTAACACAGACCTATTTCTGTTCTCTCAGAGCTGTCTTTCAATTCAAGTTACCCACCAGAAAGACAATGAACTCTGTTCTGTTCCTGCTCCACCTACTTCTCTCTCAGCCTTCCTCCTCATAGCTTCTCCCTGCCCAAATTATGCAAATTGGGGTGCAGTTCTTTCTGTGATTACAAATTCCCTGGCTTTTTAGGGCAGGTAAGCTGCATTCCCAGTACTGGGACCTGGTAATCCAAGATGCTCTGTGTTGGATGCTACAAGACTTAGCTTGAACCTGGTGATGGAAACCAACCCCAGCTGGCAGCTGTTCATGGGCCCCTGTGAAAGGTATTGGTGGTCTCAGCCCTCTCCTATTTCTGAGCAGGTCATAAATAGGATCCAGATCCAGGCCTTCAGCAGAAAAACTAAAAATTGATTGAGCATCATGGGCACTGATCTCGTCTGTCATCCCTGGAGACAACAAACCAGAGAGTAACAGTGAACAAATATGTTAGGATAAATTTTTTAGTACTTCTAGGCTGGAAGCAAATCATTTTTAATGTCCCTCCCAACCCAAAACATTCTATGATACTACAGTAATTGTTCCTTGTATAATAAGTTTTCAATCTTTGCCTTGAAAAGGACTCCACTAACGATCAGAAGTTTTGGGGTGGTTTTTGACTTGCTGGTCTGTTTCTAATAGATCTTGAGGTGCAACTTTTGCATTTATCTGATCCTTCCTTACAGCTATAGCCTTTGCTTGAAGCCTTACAGCCCAGAGAACCCAATAAACTGAGGAATAATGGAGGAATTGTCAGTGTCTGGCATTTAGAAGAGCAGGACCCCACTGGTGGTGATAGCTGAAAAAATGCAGATGGTTTTCTAGCACAGGGAATATTTATCAGGCTGAGCATGGATGCTGTGTTTGGCCACAGCAGAACAGACCATGAGGGGGGCAAAGCCTGTTTTGTGTGCAGAAGGAGCAGCTCCAGGAGCCCAGCAGAAGCAGCCCCAGTGCCCCATCCGAGCCCCCAGCCCTGTGGTCAGTCCCCCCACAGCTGGCAGAGCTCTCCCCTGGGGAACATCTGCTTCCCCTTTCCCTCAGGGAACAAATACATGTAAATACGTGGGATTGTTCTGAATATTTCCATTCGATCTGGAAGTGTTGAAAGCCTCCTCCAGGCACCTCACGTTATGTGGAAGATTGCCCATTACTGCTCAAAATAACACTTATTTCATGTGGAGGAGGAGGAGGGAATCTGTTTATTCCAAAATCAATATTTCTACATTCATTAAACATTCCACTTATTAACTTCTTTTTTCCATGCCTGTGGTGGCATTCTATCCTTGTTTTTATCCTTGCTACAAGTATATTTTTCACTTAATTTCCATTTCTATTTCCAGATTTTAGTTCTTTGAATTATCTGATAGGAGCTTGACAGGTCTGGAGTGTGGGTATGTGGGAGAGTGTCTAACATTGCCCTGATTTCCCCCTTCCATATCCTGGGATCTAAACCAGGGTGGCTGAGTGCAGAAATCTGCCTGGCAAATTAAATTGATCAGACAATGTATGCTTCAAACAGAGTCAAGTGGGAATATTTCCTTGAGCTGCTCTGCTCCTCAGGATATTTGAAATCAGTATTGAATTTGAACTTTCACAGGCTTTTTTATTTTGATGAAAGGAGACAGTAGAAGTTGCCTTCTGTTTCATGCAGAATAGCCCAAACTAAGTAAGCCTAATTTTCTGTGACACGAGAACCAGGTGGGACTATGATAATGAAGTTTAAAAGTAAAAATGATAAAGAAAAAAGTAATCTGTCTGGAAGGGAACTCAAAAGGCGATGCAGCTCATTATCCTGCCCCAAGTAAGGATAATGCTGTGGTTAAAACACTTCTGTAGTCCTTTGGAATCACAGATTTTATTCTTTACTGCAGAACAAGAACTGTATTGTCTTAGGCAAGCTGGTTGGGCCCTAATTCAAAGATATTTAATGAAGCCTAGTTCTGACTGATTTTTAGTGAGCATTAGATTCTTAGATATCATTGTAGCTCTTTCCCCAATCTTGCTCTGTCTCAGCCTCCAGACTCAAGGCATGGTGATAAAAGCAGTCCTGCCCTTTCATTTAAGATGAGTATCTTGGATGTTAAAATAACACGGTCTGGTAAGGTACTGCACTGCAGTGCCATAGGTTGGTTCAGGAATAGAGATTCCAAAAGTGGAAGGTGCTCCTGCTTGGGAAGGATTAATCTGTTCTGTCAGTGCTGGTCCAGACCAAGCAGATTTCTAAACATTTCTGTGTGAGTAGGAAATGATATAACTTCCCTTTATAGTTCCTGAGCTGAGTCTTCATGCAGGGCCTTGCTTGGAGTCTGGCTGCCAGTCCCAGCATGGGAACTGGGAAGAAGGAGCCCTTGTAGGCACTTACCCGAGTTCTGGAATTTCTTGAGAACAGCAGGCTGGGAATTCTAGCTCCTAATCTCCAAGTGACACCATCAGGATGTCACCCCTGAGCTCTGCAGAGCCAGTGTGGAAGGGGAGTGATCCCTGTGTGGAAGGGTCTGGGATGCTTTGAGGTGGAGGTGACCCTGCCCAAGGAACAGGCAGCTCCTCAGGGGAGCAAACACTGCACCAGGGAGGATGCTGAGCACACTTTGGGTCCCTCACCTTTCTGAAGGCACCACAGTGACAAACTGTCCTGGTTTATCTGAGCTCTCAGGTCCCAGGACACAGCAGGGAGTGGCAAAAGACCTCAATCTGTTAATAAGGCAGCAATTTTTATCCCTTGTATAAATATATATATATTCAGTCCTATATATTTATATATCTAGATCTATCTGTCTATAAGATTGAATTTTAAAACCTTGTAATAACAAAGCACAATCCTCTTGTATTATTTGACTGTGTAGTTTTTACCTTCTGTTAAAGATGTAATTTGTTTTCATGGGTGCTTAACAGACAAAGGAATATGTATTTGATCTTCTTATTTGTACTACAGGCTCCCAAAAAGGCAAAGAAGAAGATAGAAGGTGGTTCCAATGTTTTCTCTATGTTTGAACAAACCCAGATCCAGGAGTTCAAAGAGGTTGGTCACTACTCTGCTGTTCTCTATAGTCTCCTGTTATTGCTAATGAATAACATAGGTTTTGTTTGTAATCCTTATTCAATTCTCCATCTGCTTTAATAGAACACACAGTTGTTTTCTGAATCATCCCTGTGGTTTTGGCTGGTAGATCATTTTCCTTGTGTGTTTGTTTGTTCTTTCTTTCATTCTTTCTTTCCTTACTTCCCTCACTCACTCCCCTGTTTCAAGCTCAAGACTTATTTGAAAAGCACCCAATCCCCCACCCCAAAATAAAGGAAAAGCGTCCTCTCATCCACTTCAGCCCTGATTCAGGAAAACACTTGAGCACATGTTAAAAGTTAAGTGATATTCTAAATCAGGCATTGTCCTGACTAGAGGTGCCAGGCTGAACCAGGGCTTTCATTCGTGCTCTGTTCCACAACAGCAACAGAAAATATTTGTGCCCTTCTGAAGCTGCCCACAAACTAGGAATGAAAATGCCAAGAAGCCCTCTGCCAACTTTCTCCACAAATACCAATAAAACAAGACAACATGTGGAGATGAGCTAAGCATCTTTCAGCTCCCAAGGGATTTGCTGTTCCATGCATTGTAGCTACCTGTAAAACTGATAGGGTGGCCTAAAAGCTGGAGCACATAAAAGACAGACAATCTGTTTGATGAGTTTTTGCTCTTTTTCTGTGTGGACAATCTAGAGTGTCCATGAGACCATCACATTCTGCACTGGTTTGTCATTTTAAATTACTGATTTTTTCCCCATTTTTTCTGACTCATATCTCCAAAGCAATTTCCAGTGTGATAAATGTCTGCTGTTTCATTTTGTGCTTTCACGTGGCTTTCAAGTTTACTTTTCTTGAGGATTCCCACCAGGAAAGCTCAGTGATGAAGGGGACTAAACCCCAAGGCAAGGCCTGGGAATATGACCCAGATAAATTAATTTGAACCACTAATAATTTCCCCACAGTCAATGGGAACATGTTTGACTCTCTTCTCCCACTTCTCCATATCCTAGTAACCTCCATTTCATTTTCTCCAAGAATTAGTGCTTGAAGATGGACCAACAAAAAGAACTGGACAGAATGCCACTATTTGACCTTCTCTTAATGTGACAACACCAGGAGCATTTCTAGGGGGATGGTGGCAGAATAATGGCAAAAGCATGAGGCAGCGGAGTGGTCGAGTGAAACCCAAAACCATGTTGTGTCTAAGAACTGCATACTTGGGACACATATTTCTGAAAGGCTGGTTTGGATTAGAACATTTTATCTAGAGATTTGAGCTCATCAGCAACTGTTTCAGCATTGCTGTTCTGTTATTTAAAATTCATCCATTACAGTGCCTGATGCTCTTCCTGTCTCACGTGAGCTGCCTGAGTTCGGCTTTGCTCTTTATATTTTCTTTCTCTTTTGCTTCCAAGTTGTGGGGAATCACCATTTAAAGCAAGGGCAAAACATCTCTAAAGAGCTGGGCTGAATTTTTTTTAAGGGGATGGTTTGGAAGGTAAATGTAAGATTATGAACATAATGCTGAAAGGAACCCCGTGGGCAAACTGGGCTGTGGGCAGTGGGGCTCTGTAAGAAAAGCTGGAGGGGAAAATACCTGAAGATGTGTAGAGATAGCTTGTTCATGGTAAGAAGTTCACCCTGTAGGGCAGCAAGCTTTAAAACTCTGCAAGTTACTGCAGTCTCAGGGGAACACTGAAGAAAGAATAATTCCTGACCATTGCAAAGATACTCTCCCATACTGATGTGTCTGTTAGACAGAAAAACAGCTTCAGAGTCGTGCCAGGATCAACTAATATTCCCCATAGCATGACCAGAGGAATTTCAGGTCATTAAAACCTTTCCAAATCAATGAAACATTATAAGTGTGATGGCAGCCAAGAGATGGACACACAAATGGGTAAACAGATAGATGAGCTGTTTACCAAGTTAGCTGGCTTGGTAAACAATGGTTAGAGCACATGAAGTCCATGTTGGCTGAAAATAAAAATAAAAAACAACTGCTTTTTTTCTATTGGAAGTTAAATTTTGCCTGACAAGAGTATTCAAGGTCAGCACATCAGCGTCAGTCAGAGCACACAGCAGTCTCAAAGATGCAGTGTATTGGAAAGGGGAAAAAACTTTGAATAAATAATCTTATGGAACCTACATTTCTCTGTACTTTTGAAAGTTCAGCTATCTCTGTGTGATGGATCATTCTAAGGCCCAGGAGGAAATGACTTCAGGTTGAGAGCAGAGAGATATCCACAGAAATGAAATGTTTTACAGAAACATTTCAGCCTCATTCAAAGAATGGGGTATGGGGAAGGTGAAAACACAGAGCAACCTCTGGCTTAATCTGCCCTGGCTAAAGCCTCCCTAATTCAAACTTTTATGGGTTAAGGGCTGAATGGCTGGAGCTGCCAGCATTGGCTCCAGCCCAATGCACGCTGCACTGAGCATTAATTTAGTAAGAAGAAGTTTGGCTGGATTTAATTAAGCCCCTTGCCAAGATACAGTAATGTGTTGAAAGTGAGGAAAGTGCAATGATGTGGAGGAATCAAAGGAAGTTAAATATTCCTTTTTACAGCATGAATATCATCTTCCCATGGACTGATGTGTGTGACTGGAACACTGTCCTGTGCCATGGAAATGGCAATAGCTGTTCCTTTTCCTTCCACAGGCTTTTACCATCATGGATCAGAACAGGGACGGCTTTATTGACAAAGCAGACTTGAGAGACACATTTGCTGCACTAGGTAAACAAATAATTCAATACTTAAGAGATATGCTGTCTCAATTTCAAGCACAGAAGAAAGGTTGGTATTAGAATGACAGTGGAGGAAAAAATGAGATACACAGGGGAAAAAAGAAAACCTGTTCAGTTTGACCTTCCTCCCTTTGGTTTCTGGGATCTCACTACAGAGCTGGGAAGTCTCCTGAGCAGGGAGGGGAATGAAGGTCTGATCCCTCCCCTGCAACTATTTCAGAAGAAGCCTGCCCAAGCAGGGGTCCATGCCAGGCATTTCTGATTTGCCTCTGAATCCAGGCTTTTTCATCTGGGAGCCATGGAATATCCACTGATTAGCACTGCAGTCATGGACTAGCTGCCCTCTGCCCACACAAACCTAGGAGGGCTTCATGTGGAGTTCCGTGCTGCTGTGAGTTTGCGTGGGGTGAAATGTGCACGAGATTAGGTATTGTCCATTCCATGGCTGTCATAATCTTGATAATATCAAGCAGATTAGAGCAAATCTTCCCAAGGAAAGAAAAAATTCAAGCACTCATAATCCCAAACCTGGAGTTGAATCCTCATTGCAGCATCTGAGGCTTGAACAGTGATGTAGGCATTTGGGCTTTTGCCATCTGGAGCTTATTAAAAAGAGCTTGATAAGAATCTTTAGTGCTCCCCGGGGTGGAATCAGACGCCAGCAGAGTCAGTGTAAGGAGCAGAAGCTCCTGAACTCTTTATTGTGACAATGAGGTTTGCAAACTTTGGCCTGTAGCTACTGTTACCCTGAAATATTTATTTCTTAAGGCCAAGTTCTGCTATCTTTCCTGTTCAGTGAAGCCTTTCAATGCCTATAAAGTACATTCACAGCAAATTACCACTCAATTTGAGGAGGGTTTCCAGGGTCTAAATTCTCATCAATAGGGCTGCACAAGGATGGGGAAGGGATACCACTACTCAGTTCATCCCTCTGCCCTCTACTCAGAGAGGTGTCTCAATATCCAGGAGGGCAAAGACAAGACCTTGGATTCACTTCAGTCACTTTCATCTCTGCTAAATTAATATCAGTGGGGCCCATATTTCACCTGAGGTAAAAAATAAAGCCCCAACCCAAAAGGCAGTTTATTTGGAAGTGCCCCTTCTCTCGTCCACTGCTGGCCATGTCTGTGTTATTTATCCTTCTTGCTCCTTCAGTCACCCTTTGATCTCAGAGCCAGTTCTGCCAATTTCTTTTTCACTGGGGTATTCGGGAGTTGTGTTCTACCATGTTATTAGCAAAGTTGCACAGAGCCCTGAGCTCCCCAGTGGGAGGAGATGAATGGGAATCGTTTTTCGAAACACAATTTGTGATTTATTATGAAAAATGATCTCTGCTGCAGGTCGTCTGAATGTCAAGAATGAAGAGCTTGAAGACATGGTGAAGGAGGCGCCAGGTCCTATTAACTTCACTGTCTTCCTTACAATGTTTGGGGAAAAGCTGAAAGGTAAGTACCTCTGGGGGATTGGAGAGGTATCTGTCAGAGATCCTCGGCACTGAAATATCTCAGCACCTTGCAAATTATAATAATGTCTCCACAGAACAATGCTTAGAGGCAAGGAGGGATCTCCAGTTTTGCAGACAGAGGGGAAGCATGAAAGGCTAAGGGACGGTGCAGAGGACAGTTCAAAGATCTGATTTAGTTTACACAAGCTAACATGAAAGTGGTGAGTTGGGGTCCAGAAGGTGGTGAAACCTCAGCAGCCTGGAGCACAGTACAGGGGAGTTATTCACCATCAGAAGGCTGAACTCATGCTCATGCTCTAGTCACAGCACTCCCAGTGTTAGCTGGTTTTAAGCATTGCTAAAAACCCACCCTTTTTGCACGCCTTTGTCACATTAAGCAAACATGGGCTTCCCTCATTTTCTGTGTTCATTGTAACTCAGTGGCCCAGCCTCATTGTCACTTGAGGCCAATAGTGATTTTGCCATTAGGTGAAGATTTCACTGAATAACCCTTAACGCAGTGGATAAATTGAAATAATTAAATTTCAGTGGATTTACAATGCTATGAGAGAGAGATTTTACCCATTGCCACAGAATATATAGGGAACACTGTGGGAAGTTCAGGAAATTTGCTGTGTGAGCTGGTAGTTTAGTCATGTCTCTTCTCCAGTTAATGGCTGGAAACTGCAAGAGAGCAAGACAGAACTCCAGTCATCTTCCTACAGGCATAAGAGAAAGGTGAAAGCCTTCAAAGCAGGGCTGGCCTTAGCCAAACACATTCCAGAAGTTTGTTAAAATAGCTAATGAATAGAAAAATGGAAAAATCAGATCCTATTTTCTTAAAAACATTTATTGTTTTGTTGCTGAACTCTGGCTTTATATTGCTAAACACAATTCCAGTGAAGGGTTTTCTATGGTTGGAATAGAAAATAGAGAGGTCTGAAAGAAAGAATTCATGCAGTTGGTTTTGGAAGAAAGACACACTTGCTAAAGAGGGCAGGAAGTCTGGGAGGCATGAGAGGTGATGGAGAAGGCTGACTGAGGAGAGGATTTTACTCCCCAGATATCAACCTGTCTGTGGTACCTCCACCAGGACATTCCAGGTGTCTTCTGTCAGAACAGGGAGTGCCTTCCTCCATATTCTTCCTCCTGGGATATGTGGATGTTTGTTGTGGGGTGTCCTGCTGCCCATTCCATTTGTGAGCATGGAAATGAGCTCTTCCTCCTCTCCCCTCTTCCTCCTCTCCCTTCTTCCCCCTTGCCCTGTACAGTTGCTGGAGCTGGCAAAGCCTCTGGCCCTGCCAGTCCTGTGGCCTAAAAGCAGAGCCAGCACAGGAAGGTGAATGGCAAAGCAGAACCCTCTTGTCTGCAGGTTTCCTGTTGGCTACTAGCAAAGGAGGAGGGTTTTTTTAATTTCCATTTGGTGAAGGGAAAATCACAGCTGTGCTTGTCATGCCCTTCTGGTTGGGTTTGTCATGCAAAGGAAGCAGAGCCAAAAGACTGCACATTCCCAATCAAAACTAATTGGGATGAAGAGCCTTTGTAGTGCAATTAGAAAGGGAGAAAGGGCTAGAGGAAGTGGATATGGCAATTTTGCAACACTCTTTATTAGCTAAGTACCACTCAGAGAATTTGGTGAAAGGTGCTTTCTAAGTAAAATTTGTTGTGCTATAATTGATTTCTGTCATAAAGGGGAAGCTGGGATTTTCAGGATGAGCTTTAGCTTTGTATGTTGAGATTATGATGCCAGATGAACAGCTAACAAAACTCGGTTTATGTTAATGCCAACCACATGGAGCTGCTTCTACAGGGAGTCAGAATAATACAATTTGTACAGAAAACAGAGATGCCGCACATCAAAGAAACCACTTTATTTACCAGCTAATCAATAAAGAATGCCTGCTGCATTGCTTCTCTTCAAAGCCAAAGTCCAAGGATATGACAGAGTAGAAAATGTAAAACACAGTAAGGAAAAAAAATCCCCCCCACAGCGGTGACTACTTAAAATGCAGCCCTCTCCTTGGAGCTGGGGGATGTTTCTCTTCATGGGACAATCAAAACACTCATTAAACACCAATGCTCTTTGTATTGATCACAGATTCATTGCAGTTTGGATACATCGCCCACAGCTTGGCAAAAATAATAGACATGGGCATTGTGTGGCGAGGAGGAGGCCATCTAGCCCGAGGTTTGTTCACCATTATATCCTCTAGGATCCTGCTAATCCTTGTGAAAGCTTTCAAACAAAGCAAACTGTGAAGGCATCAGGAGAGTCTGTAGAGCAGGGAACCTTGGCTGGGTTCTGTTCTGGTTCTACCTCTGCCAAACTTTGAAACAAACTTTGAATCTGCAACCCTTTGTGTTGTATCCTTTTTTAATCACTCCTTCAGCATACAAAATAGCTTCATTTTGTCCATGGAATCAGTTAATCTGCTTGTAAACCTGGTTTCCTACAGCTATACAAAGATTTGTATTCTGTATACTACAGTAATATTTTGAAATATTGGGGAATAGTCAGAAACAGAGTACACGGTGTATCCTTTGGTGTGGGTTGAAAATGAGTGTACTCAGAGTCTGCAGTATTACAGAATAGTCAGAAGCCCCAGCCAAGATTAAGGCACTGTGAAAACAAGTCCCTGACACAAATGTTTTCCAGTCTAAAGAGATGGGATAGATAATGGAAGGAAGAAAAGGAAGACCATTACAATCATTTTACTGCTGGGAACAGAGAGAAAGGGATATTAAAGTCATACCAAAAATCTGTGGCCCAGCTAAGGGCAGAAGCAAAATCTTGCAGCCACAGTCTGGTTCTTTAAACCATCCTGTTTCTGTAAGTAACACTTAATGAAGAGACACTTAAGGGGAAGGGCACAATGGGATTTCAGTGCAGATCACCATCTCACATTGATCATCCTGTTTCCATTGCATTCCATTGGCATTTGGATTTTATGATGAGCTCCATTTCCTTTAGTGAGGGAAATAACCTCTTCTCTATATGGCCAAGAACAAGTAACATCAAAAAGTGTTTTTACAAGGAACGTACAGTGCAAGATTAAAGGAAGCCAGTGAGGGAAACAGTTTGTTATATTTTCATTTCTGAAAGCCACTAATCCTCTGGGTACTGATATTGGAGACCAGTTCCTGGAAGTTTTCTCTCCTGCAGACATAGAATAGATATGAGTTATTATTTTTAAGCTTCTGAGCATTGAACTATTCACCTCTATTGTTTATCTGACATGACAAATGCTGCCGACTTAGGGAACCTTTGTCTCCAAACCCACAACTGCAGAATTCTCCATTTTGCACTGTTTTCAAGTGAATGTAATTACTTAGCAAGTATTCTGCAGCCAGAGAAATACATCCAGACTTCTAAATTATATTTCATTAATTTTAGGCACGGACCCAGAAGAAACCATTCTGAATGCTTTTAAGATTTTCGACCCAGAAGGAAAAGGCCGCATAAAGGCAGACTAGTAAGTTTATTTCAAATCCTTTAGAAGAATAACAATAATAATAATAATTGCAGAGTTTTAAAGCACTGCTTAAAAGATGTATTTTTCACAGTGTTTTAAGAGGCAGAGAAACATTTAGCTTTGTAAGCCAGAGTTGTAAGTCTGGACTGTTGTATGAATGTATTTGTATACCAAAAAGAGATGTTATTGTCTTCAGACATTGCAAGAGCCAACGGAAATATAATCACATGTAGGCCATTAGATAGCCTCTTTTTGAAGGTCTGGATATAAATTGACGCATGACTCTTTGTAAATTAACTCCATATGTAAAATTAAAATGAATGTCTGGTGCCTAACTCTCAGTACTTGACTAAATTGGGAAAGCTACTCCCTTCTTTAAAAAAGTGATCAATTTAATTAACTCTGAGACATGGTTTTAGTGCAGGACGTTTTCCTTTTTTATGTGTTTATCATTTGAGCCTTCTGCTTCTAGAAATAATTTGCTGTAAAATTCCACTAGATACGGTGAAAGCCAAACCAAATAATACTATTAATAATCTGGCAATTATTGTCAATATGGCTATTTTTAAATATGGAGGCAGAACTTAATTTGTATTCATATCCTGTTACACCAAAAAAGCAATGTAAAAGGACTTTAAGAGGTATTTGCACAAATGCAAACCCTCCTTGCACTGCCAGAATGGTGCAAGCAGGACTTTCAGGTGAGTGAGATAAATGATATCAAATCAGGGCAGGGGATAAGGAGGTTGGACCTATTGTTCCAGAGAAGTGTTTTATGTACCTAGATTTATGCATATGTTTAAATTAGTTCATATGCTGAAATTTCATGGTGAATTTGGGGTTTGTACTTCTACTGCAGCAGCCATTTCAGGTAGATTTTATAAAGTATGATATGTACAGGAAATCTATCAGGGAATTGTATTTGCATCAATTATTTCTGCTTATGTTGTGATAGCCTCTGACCAGAATCCTGTGGGGATTTCCATGACATTATCTGCAATTATTGATGAAAGTTAGTTGAAAATGTAAAATTCAGGTACAGTCTTTCCTTTACCAAGGTGGTTTTCTATGGCAGTACTCCAGTGGGTCTGAGAACTTCTGCAAAATGCAAAATAAGAGAGACAGTCCTTTGAGTAAGAGCTTCCAAATTAATTAAAACACAAGTGGATGTAGCAATCAATCAGAAGGAACAGAGGGTTAAGAGATGTCTTAATGGTTTTGGGGTTAACATCACCCAAAAAGCTTGGGAAGAACAGTCAGGGGATCATATCAGAAGTACAAACAACAGAATAAATGTAGCCTGTCGCCAAATAGGGCAGATCACACAGCAGTGAAATCACATCCATGAAATACCAACTTCTGATACTCCAGAACCCATGAAATGTTGTATTTCCCACCACTATCTGTAACAATATCCTGCATATAAAATCTGCAGCTTGCCACCCCGTGTCCAGATCTACATTCCTTGGATGCTGGAAGCCAGTTGGAGTTTGGGGCAAATTAGGAATGCAGTATCACACTCCAAAATGAAGATGAGAGAGAAATATTTTATTTTTCCTTGATGGAAAAGGTCAACCTTGTCCCCACCCCCACTGCACTGCTAACATTAGACAATTGTTTTAGTTCATCACCACAACAGAACATAATGTTTACTTATTAGACCCGAGGGTAATGTTGATCATTACAGAATAAACCATTAAATCAATTCCGTGGATGTCTTTGAGGTTTAACTTCTATTCATATGCTTCCAAAATGTAGACATTTGAAGTTTTTAAATAATTTTTCTGTTGGCTCATGCAGCCATTTCAATGTGACAGTTAATGCTAATAAATAATATTTCTCCATATTAAAAAAATCCTGGAGTGTTTCTGTCCAAAACCAGCCATGCTGACCTTTTAATCAGAACTTCTTTTTTATGATCATGGAGTTAACATCCTTCTGGGGATTTTTATGTCTCTTCCCTCTGCGTGTTTTCACCTCTAGTCTGGAAATGACTCACTCAGTCCATGTGATGGTAGCTGGGATGGAGCCTTCTAACCTTTCCAGAAGCTCCAGGAGTTTATAACTTACTTCCAAATTCAATGACAGACTTTGTTTGTCTGCATCATTATACCACACATAAAACCCTTCCCACAGCATGATGTCAAAAAGAGAAAATGCTCTCGGTCCCATTCTCAGCTGGTGTGAACTGGGGCAGTGTTTGGAAAGGTTGGATGATTCAGTCCCAAATGCCACTCATGGGGCAGAGTGAGTCAGGCCAACACCAACTGTGCCTAATGCTGAGGCTAGTGAAACTTTTCAGATTTGGGCCAGATGAAAATGGACCCAGGGGGATGGAAGAGGTCCCAGGAATGCTGGACTTTGGAGCTGAACTAGAGATGATTCTCCCCGTAGCTGTAGAGCTCTGCTCCTTCCCACTCACCTGTTTTCCTCCAAGACAGCACTGTAGAAAGGGCAGACCCAGAGGAAAACCAAAAATGTCCCAGAGATTTCACAGATAATTTTTAAAAAGGCTTTTAAAACATCAGAATGCAACAAGGTATTTGTAACTGTAGAAGGAATTGATGTGAGCCAGGTCAAGGGATGACATTCAGGCTTTTTAAATTAAGGCAAATAGATTTGGGTTTGGTTTGGTTTTGGGGGTATTTTTTGAGAAGAAAATAAGCTTTCTAAAGAAAACAAGATACAAAAAGAAAAAAAGTGCATAATTTCTGGCTTTGGAAATTGTGAGTGTTTGTTTCCCTATAAAATAAATAATGGAAAATGTGCATAGATCCTTTAGTCAGTCCTTCTTCCTTGTGAGTGTGCCAGAGCCTACTGGGCTGTGCATCAGAAGATTATAATTAGATATTTGATCTTTTCTTTTCCCCTAAATACTTTAGGCATGTGAATAGAAGACACACAGTGCCCAGATCTCTTTTTAATTCAGACTTGTTTGCCATGAAGTTTATTTGTAACTTCTGACAAAATTGCTTCCTTCTATTCACCAAGCTCCTTCCTGCATCACACTTCCTGTTTACATTTGCTAATGTTTGTCAAGGGCATATATATCCAATAATCAATTTATGCTGAGGGGAATGATCTCTCTACTCTTGCACCCACTGATCATTTGAGAATTCGCCTTCAAAAATGCAGTTGATACCAAATGGCCAGATGAAGAGAACAGAAACAGAAACTTGAGACAAAGAGTTGAAGAAACTTAGTTAACTGCAGAGGATGGTGAAGTAACACAGGAAAAATATATGTAATAATTTAAGCTCTGTCTGTGACTTCAGAGTATTTCCCAAAGCTTGCACAGATATTTTCACACTTGTCCTTGTGGTCCTTATTCAGTGCCCAGAAACCTCTGTTTGAAATTTTCCCTTTCTGGGTTTCCCAATGTGCACCTGATATCAAGAAGACCTGCAGAAGTGTGTGTGTGTCCCTGTTACAAACTGGGATGTGTAGCCTTTTCCTGGGAAAAAGTCACATTTGTCAGAGCTGTGAATGCCACTGGAGCTTTGTCACCCAAACTGCACTTCTGGCTGGGGGACTTTTCTCATGTGCAGTGTATGGGAGCAGAAATGGAGGATTGACTGTTCTGCCTGAACATCACCAACAGTAGGTGAATTTTGCTCCCCTGGAAGTGTTCCTGTTCAGGCATGATTTCTATTATAAGTAGTTTTAAATATTCTCTTTAAAAAGCAGAAAGGGTTTCTTCCAGAAGAGCTGCTGCTCTCACTCCCCCACAACAAATTCTTCAAAAAAGCAGCCTTTTTTCAAATCTAAAACCAAACCAAACCAGATTTCTATATTTGCCTCAGCTTTTGTTTTTGTACAACAGACTGCTCACCTGTTATCACAGCTTTACAGTTTGTTTTAGTGCTCCAGAACTGCGTCTGATAATGTATAAATACATTTGGTAGTGGCAAAAAGAGACAACTCTGCCTCTTCAGCGTGAATGAAAACTGTGAGATTAATATAGGAATTCTTTTACAGGAAGGGGAAATTATTGATGTTATTGAAGGGATGTTTATGTGAATATAAGTGAGTTTATACTGGTGGATGTCCCAGCACATGGTGCATGTGCTGCCCTCAGCACATGAGTAACTGGGGGAGCTATAAAGACATTTTATCTACAGGGTTAGACTAGAAACAGAAATAATTGTTCCTGGCTTTTCTATTCACCTCTAAACTTAGGTAAAAAAAAAATAAATAAAAAAATTACATGCTCGACTGCCTTCCCACAATGTGTTTAAAACAGAAGGTAAATCAGCTGAGAGTCTGCCCCCAAAATATTCTCTTTGATGTAATTGCACGGGATGCAGATTGTGTGTGGGATAAGCTCCGTGTTCCAGTGCTGTGACTCCAGATCAAGACAGTGCACCGTGAAATGCAGCAGGGCTCATGCAGTTCCACAGCCTCCTCTGGGAATGGCTGCATGCAAATAAAGGATTCTGGGGTGATGATTCGGAATAGCGGCTGGAGCTCTCTTTCAAGTCCTCTTTCTCATTTCATGCTCTGTTCCTTTCATCCTCAGATTTTACAGAAAATATTCTCTCTTTTGGTTTTGTTAAGTGATCCAAACTTTAAGCAGCAAGTGAGGAAACCTAGCATTTTAGGTTAAGATAAGCATACAAAATTGCTGTATTTCAGTTACAGTAATAACCTTAAACAATTTTAAACCTCTATAAAATGTCACAAAAGAGAAATAAGTTGGCAGAGCGAGGCATTGACACTGATGGGTGCCCACAGAAAATCTCTTACAATATCATGTAAGGATTAACAGCTCTAATTTATGCGGTCACACAGATTTTCTTTCATGCAACTTCAGGAGGGATCTTGCCATCTGAATTGTCATGTGCCATTATCACCCTTTAATCAGGTTATTTCATTTTATTTGAACAGCATCAAAGAAATGCTTATGACACAGGCAGACCGCTTCAGTCAAGAAGAGGTAAGGAACTTTATTCAAAACAGAAATCCAGCTCCAGCTCCTGTTCAGCAGTAAGTCCTTGCCCCTCTTCAAATGCATGAATTTAGCTGAAATCCAGACTGAGAGGAGGTTGATATCAGCTCTGGCAATTAGAAACAATTCAAAGCATCTCTTCTGAAGAGCTCCATGGCTAAATCAAAGTCAGATAGATTCTTTGGACTCCCATCCAAGTGCAAGTGTGGCCTATCTCGTGCTGTTCTTCCCCATGGGCAGCTGGGCAACTGATTTACTGGAGTCCAACTGGATTTGGGTGGAGACTTGTGTTCTGGTTTCCATTTCTATGAGTTGTTTGGTTTGAAATCTGAAATGAGGCACTGACTTGGTGGTTTGTGTGAGACTGAGCACAGATTCTGCTGGTTGGGAGGAATTTAGGGGGACTTCATTTTCAGAAGAGGAGATGGAGTGGAGCTGGTCTGTGGACAGAACAGACTGGGCAGTCTGTTCCAGTCAGAACAGAGAACTGGACTGTACATTTATCAACCAGGGCTTACTTGGGTTTCAGGGAGAGCTCTTTTCAACAGGGAACTTGTGGGATTCTAGCAGGACTTTATCAACCAGTCATGTTCCAACTCCAGTTTCAATTTTACCAAGCCCAAAGAAAACTTTTCCATGGTGGTTGAAGGACCAGAGCAGCAGGGAGCTGAGCAGGGTTGAAAATGAAACAATGTTCATGCTGCTGTCCCACAGCCTGTGACACTTATCTCTTTTTTGCTTGGCAGATCAACCAGATGTTTGCTGCTTTCCCTCCAGATGTCTCTGGGAACCTCGACTATAAGAACCTCTGCTATGTTATCACCCATGGTGAGGAGAAAGACTGAGAGCAAAGAGAGGAGCTTCTCCTGTGGTAATGCACTGAGTTATTCCATGATGCTCTCGTGTACAAGGGCAAAGCATCCAGGATGTGAAGCCATGTGGTCATCGGAAGAGAACCAATAAAATAATCGAAAATAAATTAAAGTTATTTAATGTTCCTGTTTTTATGAAATACCAAAATACCAATTTTGTGAGGGTTTTTTCCCATATTTTTTTTTTCCTGACAGTGGTTTGAAATGGAATTTTCTTGATGAACTGGTGCTTCTTTGATTTATTGACAAACCTAATGCTCACCAGATGGTCCATTGGGCACTGCACTCATAACCTCTTGTCTTTTTTACATAAGCTCCATGTATTAATTGAATAAGCTCCATGTATTAATTGAGAATTCCTCTGACTTACTGCACCAGGAAGAGTGTCTGGCAAATGGAATTATGTTCCATTCCACAGCCCCTAGCAATGGAAGTGTAAATAAAACAATCCTGTGAATATGCAATATGCCCTCCCCATCTCAGTGATGTGGCCAGTTCCTGAAACCACTTGACTCATTTGCTTTGGTGCAAAAGAGCAGAAATGGTGGAATATTGGCTGATTCTCTCATAGTAAAGTTCACCTAGGTACACTTAGAATCCAGGCATAATGAATTTCCTGCTTCAGAGACATCTTTTTTATGTGGAGGAGCTTGTCCAGGACACAACTGGGCTGTCACCCTTGCCATCATCCTTGGGTTACAGGTGAGACACACAGCAAGGATGAGTTTGGCCAAAGATCATCAAGTCTAAGGACAAAGAGGACAATTTGGGAACTGTAGCCCAGGAAAGCAGATTACCTCTTACTTTTCTAATCCAAGAGCAGCCTGGTTTTTAAATGGGCTACAGTTTCTTGTATTTAGACTTCTAGGAACAGGACATATTCAGCCTATGTGGAATATTGCTGAACACTTCCTGCGTGGGAGGCAGAAGGATGATGCAGCCAAAGGAAAACAAGCTTCTGCTGTTTTAACAGCTCATGAAAATGCTTTCCTTGTGCATCAGTACTGCTGGAGCCACAGTCCCACAGACACTGAGAGGAAGCAACAAGCCACTTATTTTCTGGTTCCATCTTCTTAGGCTTTGTAGGAAGAAAACTTGAGGGCAACACGTCAAATTCTGCCCTCATCAAGAGGGGCAGAAATTCCCTAAGAAAGCTCTAACATCTGCATGACTCAGGGATGTGACATTCACCCCACCTGCATTTTCTGTCATTCCAGCAAAATCCTGCACTCTGTGCACTTCAATAAAAGAGAACAACTGGAGTGAGAAGGCTCTTAGCAAACAGAAAATTCATAAAATAAAACCTCCCTTTGTCTCTGTGCGAATGTTCCTGCACCAGCACCGTTTTCCCAATATAACAAGTTGATTCCCAATTGTATTGAGTAGGAATTACTTCTTTTAAAAATATCAGTGGACACAGCTGGGGCAAAATTCACTCCTTGCCTGCACAAATCTTGCTGAAGATGTGGACAAAGCTTTAGCACTTTTTTCCACCTGTTCCTGTAACAATTGAAGCAACACCCAGAGCTGCTCCTCCCAACACGAGGAGCAGCTCCACTGGGCTTTGGTGACTTAGAAATCTTCCTGCAATTCAAGAGTCCACAAGACCTGTCCTTCCACCTCCTGGCTCACCCACCAGCAGAGCTTTCCTGGACAAGCCCAGCTTTTATCACTGTTTCCCACAATGGGTTTTTTCTCCCCAGAATGTTTTTCCTCACAGGTCCATGACCATTGCCCATGTGATGGGGCTGTAGATTGGCACTGGGAGGTCACAAAGGTTGAGAATTTTCTGTTGGCACAGTGAAAAAGGTGATTTATATATGAGCTTCTGCTTTAGGCTCTTCTGCAGACCCAAGGAAGTGACAGCTCCTCTCAGCAAAGAGCTGAGCTGCTCATGGGCGAGGGCTGCAAAATGGATGTTTCATTTACAGACTTAATTTAGAAATTTCTTGAGAGGTGGGTCTGTAAAATGCTCTCATGTGGCACAAACACATGTACAAAGCGTAATGCTACCTTGTATAAGCACCACAAAATCACATTCCCCACCAGATGAGTACTGAGCTGAAGTCACTCAGGCATCAGATGTCAGACAGTGCTTATGGTTTTTACACTGTGTAAAGATTTCAGAATGAGGCTGAAGAGGAGATGAAGCAGCACACAGGCTTACCTTTGGCCTTCAATCTAGAGAGATTTACTTTTCCTCATGCAAGCTGGTAGGCAAAAACTTGGGGGATGATAATGCTCTTGAAAGATGAGGTCACACTTTTCCATCAAAGCAATTTGTGATGAATCCTTTCTTCATCTGTAACTGTTGCATGACTTCTTCCAGTGCAGCTCTGTGACTTCTCAGTCCCTGATGGGAGTCCAGTCTGAGCAGTTCCAGTTCCCCCCTTCCCTCCAGTCAGCACTAGGGCTCAAACACACACAGCAGGTGCTGACTGAGAAGAAATCTCCTTCCTCCCTAAATTTCCTTGCTGGGCTCTGGGAGTTGACATTCCTCTTCAGTTCAGCTGTGTTTAGATATTACTGAGGTCACTTTACCTTGCCCTGCTGCTCCCTCACACCTACAGATGGGGCAGGAGCAGGGAGATGTGGGGAAGATGGAAAGCAGGACCACCTGAGCATGGATTAGGTTGAGCCAGGCTTTACCATGAGAGGTTTAGCTTGGAGCATTGCAATTTTGAAGTGAATTGCTTACCTTGAGCAACCTGGGTAACTTTTTTGGAGGAAGCTAAACCAGAGGCTCTGCTTGGAATTCAGTCCAAATTCCCTTAGATTCCTGGTGGGACCAAACCAGGGTGCAGCTGTGATGCCCTGCAGCACCAAACAGTGAAGCACCACCAGGGTGCTCCCAACCACCAGAGCTCTCAAGACCCTCTGAAGTGGTTTGTGGCTGTACAAAGCCCCGGGTTCCATCTGACCCTGTGTGCCTTCAGGCTTTTTGCAGTTCTGCTCCTTCCTTGTTGCTGCACTTTTATCTTGGTTCAAAATCCATTTCTTACTTTTTTTTTTCCTTGTCTGTTGCCCCAGATTTTTGGCACTTCAAGGGCAATGCAGCTGAGGAGCCTGTTGCAGATTGCTTGAGGAGATCTTTGGATTGGGCTATGCCACCAATCTGGTTGCACCTTGGACCCTTGGACCATCATGCAAGACAATTTGGTGTTGTCATGCTCCCCCTTCTATTAAGGGGAAGAACAAATGTTCACATAAACATCATGAAAATATTCAAGATTCAAAACAAGCCTATATCAACCCCAATTTCATTTCAATCTCCATTTTCATAAGGGGACATAGGGCTGTGCTCATGGGGTTTGGATGCAGATTCAAATAACCAAAGGGAACAAAGAGCTCAGATTAGTTCCACAAAACAAATTTTCACCAAGCATCATTAAAATGATCAAATGGGAACTGAACTTGCATGAACCCTGCCAGTTGCTCTTCAGTGTCGATCCTTTCACAAACAAATACTATTTGGATGGGAAAAAACAAAGAAGCGGGGTAGAATTGATAATGTATTTTATTAACTCTTGAAAGTTTAATCCCATAACCCTTTCTGAAACCTTGTGAAAGGGTAGAGCAGCCTTTGAAATAGACTGTAGAGAAAGGTTCTCATGAGCTCCCCCAGTTTGTTGTTCTGCTTAGAGGCAGGATTGTTGTTACAAACGTTTGTCTGACCTGTCTAAACTTTGTAGGTAGCCTCAAGTCCAAAACTAGCCTTAGATTTATGCATTTTTTCCCCCTAACCTAAATCTTTCTGTCTGCAAATTAAGCCAATTTCATCCTTTGCATCCTCTCTGTAATGACGTTAGCACAGTGGAAGCCTGTTTAGTTTTCTTTTTTCAATATTCTTTTTCCAACTTTTCCTCCCAGTAATCTTTTCTCTACTCCTAATTTTTCTTGCTCTCTTTAGGATTACCTTAAATTTGTGCATATTTTGTTTTTAAACATTGTATGCCAACTTGGACACAAAATTCCAGCACCAGCAAGATTGGAATAATTATTTCAGAGGTTGGTTGTCTGTAAAAAGCCAAACAAACCAATCCCCCCTCTGTGATTCAGCAGCACTGAAGGTTATGAATGTTTCTAGGCAATATGGGTAGAAGTTTATTCCAGACCTCTCTTCCTTAATAACTGCTTGTTTCTGATCCCCCTGTAGCTTCTTCTGTCTATCCCAGAAAGTTCCTCAGATCTGATTCCCTCTGCCTCTGTTACTCTGGGAATGTGCCAGCAGGGGTTATCTGAGGACATACCTTGAATTTACAGGAATGCCAGCAAGGTGTAGATTGTCTGAAGCCTCCTTTTTCTATTTGAAAACAATGCCAAAAGTATTTAACATTTTCATCAATGACCTGGGTGATGGGACTGAGTACAACAAATCCATGCTCTTCCCAGCAATGTCCATGCACAGGAAGGGAGGCACCAGTCCTTAACCTGCCCACAGGTACAGAGAAAGTTCTGCACCTTTGGGCCTCCCCTCATTTCCTCCTCAGTCTGTTGGAATTCAGGTGGTCACCAGCAGGATGTCCATGAGCCACATGTCTCTGAGCCATCCCATGACAACGCTCATGCCCAAGGAGAAGGGATTTCCCACTGTGAAGGGGGGAAAAAACAACTTCAATCCAGTTGGATTATATGCAAGAGTAAATCCATCTGGATTCCTAAAGGGGAGCCCATGGCTTACACCAGAAAAAATCTCCAAATGCCATGGCCATGGCTGAGCCCAGGACATGAGCTCCCAGCTCCTGAAGGAGCACTCCTGGGATGTTGCTCTGTGCAGAGCTGTCTGTCCAGCTGCAGCAGCTGAGGTCCCTTCCCTGCTATGGAGCCCTTTTCCAAACTCAGGACTTTGGGAGCCATAGCAAGGAGCCAGAATCTGGATCCTTGAATCACATGTGGCACAGTATTTGAAACAACAGTTTCCTGACATACAAATCTGGGAAGTTTTATCAGAGTTACAGAACTTGGGGGATTCTCACGTGTATTGACTTCACTTTGCCCACTTGCATGTGGTGTATATTCAAGCAGGCTCCTCTCTGCAGAGGTGAAGGGAGAGCTCCTTGAACAGGCATTTTGTGGCACTTAAGCTCCTTTCTCCTCTGATTCAGCCCCAGCAAGTATCTGTCCAGCCCCACTGGCTGTAAAGCAGGAGCCCAGGAATGCTAACTCAGGTTTTTAAGGTCAAGCATGGCAATACTTCCTTGAGTCCTTATCTGGTGAACTGCTGCCATTTGTTACTGTCCCTTTCAGTTCAAATGATTGCTATATGTGCCTGTTGACCTGAGAAACATAAATTTTTTTGCAAAATATATGAGCAAGTTCATGTTTGGTCAGCTGCTTCAGCAAGAATACAGCACTCAGATGCCAGGCCAGGCAGGAATTTTTGTATTATAATGATTAAAAGACAGCAGCTGCCCCTTCCTGGGAAAAGAGGACTTATGTAAAAGTGAAGGGAGATCCAAACAGCCTTGTCCCTTTAAGGTTTGGAAGCTGCAGGTACCACCACAGCTGTGATGAGCAGAAAGTTCATGACCAGAGAGTAGGGTGGGATGGGGAGAGGCTTCCTCTAACAGGCCAGAAAGAGATAAATCTCCATGAATTTCCTGGTAAGCCAGTGTCCTTAAGATATCGAAGTAAAAAGGATGCAGATTAGCAGCCAGAAAGATTTTGTTGTTAGTTTTTTTTTCTGCAGAACAGAAATTAGCCAGTTTCAGCAAGGATCGTGCCTGCCCCCCCCCCCAGCCAGGCTGAGAGTGAAGAGGCTGTGACAGAACTTAATGCTTGGAAAAATAATACTGGTGTGAACCAAATGCTGAAGCAGTACAAGTATCTGTATTTTGTCTGGAATTGCAAAAAGCCTTATGGGAATACCAGTGATTTCTTTTTAAATTGGTGTTACAGTTCAACCAGGTTTGTACAAACAGGTAATGTTGAAATGCAGTGTGTTACAGCCCTGGAAAAGGTGGAAAAGGCCAGTTTTGTTCCAAGGTGAAACACATATGTGGCAGTGTGGCCCCACAGGCTGTCCCAGCCTGGCTGCTGGCAGTGACCCCCAGTGTCCCCTCTGCTGTGGCACCAAATGGCACCAGGTTTTACCTTCCCACACTGAGCTACAGCCGCCAGCTGAGGGCTCTGCCCAGGGCCTCTCTCCCTGGGGCCAACATGAGCTTTTCCACCTGCCTTTTTACACCAAACTGCAGGCTCCTGAGTCCATGGGAAATATTTTCAGGTTTGCTAAATTCAAATCCTGATTTGTTAAATACTGCAATGCCTTTGAGCTGCTGCTGAAGGCAGCTGACAAGTACTGAATGCAGCATGTTTGAAACCTCTCTCTTAGCTCCAGCACTCCGGTACCTGAGGAGGAAGAGCACAGCTGGCACCAGGAGCTGTCCCACACCCGGTGCTCCTCCAGCCCCACAGGTTAATTAACAGGAGGCTGTTAATAACAAGGGGCTCCTCTGCCCTGAGGAAGCTGCCAGAGAGGACGAGGAGAGCTCATCCCGGGGCTGCTCCGTGTCCCCTCACAGCCAAGGTGGAGCTGAGGCCTCGGCTCAGCTGAGGGCCTCGCACAGCCAAGGTAAGCTGTTTTGTTGTTTTTTTTCCAAGGAGAATTTTAATTAGGGGTTGTAGGCCTTGGAACAGCCCAGGGATTGTGCCTGGGGAATGGGTTCTTTGGGGAGGAGGGACGGGAAGGTTGTGGGGGTTTTGTTGTTTTGTCTTCCCTTGGCTGTGAGTGACTTTCAGTGCCCTGTTTAGTCAGCTGTGGCTGATTATATAAAGTAACCCCCTGGCTTTTCATATAACATAGAAAGCTTATCACCTTTTCCAGCCACTACAACACTCATTAAAGTCCCTGGAAAAACAACCACCTGCTTTTACTGTTAAAGATCTGTGTTTTGTGCCTGCTGCAATGGGTGAAGCCCTGGGGTGCTGGGCAGTGTGTGCTTATGGCCTGTACCTGCCTGAAAGAGGGGAAAAAAATTCCTTATTTTTATTCCAGATGGATCCCTCTAGTTATGTTTAAATCTCCAGGTAAAAACAGTGCAAAAAATGGAGCCAGGTTCCTCAAAGTTCTGCTGTCACTGGTTTTCCATGTTAGCACTGGGAGGAAAATAAGAGGCCTGGGCCAGTTTAACTGCTGTGGGTATTGGTGGCATTTTGTGGAAGGGCTGATGTAAGGAATAGGATTTTTTGTGCTTTTGTTACATTCAGTGTAGTGAGGGACAGACCAGAGGTCACTTCAGATCTCTGCAGTGATGTACTGGGTATGAACTACTTCCTTGAAGAGGTCCCCCCTCCTCTCATGACCACTATGCTGGTGGCTAAATTCACCAAAAAATTTGGGTATATTGAATGTGTCCAGCCATTCAAAACTCCTATGGCCTCACTCAGTGCTCCTTGCAAGTACCAAGGCACATTTCTTGAACTTTAGGTTAAAAATAAAGCCCCAGCAGTGTGTGGGAGCATGGGGGGCTCTGAGGAAATGCCCCTCAGCCTTCCCTGTGACCTCCCACCAGCTCTGCTGGTTCCCTGTGGGCAGAAAGGGGCAGCTATGGATTTGGGAACAGCTAATGGAGAAGCAGCTGAGGCTGAGGCACAGCTTCAGCTGCTCTCATCAAGACAAGAGCAGATGTTCCCAATAAAACATTGACTCCTCAGATGTGGGTGCCGGGCTGATAACAAACAGCGGGAGGGCCCTGTGCTATTAGACCACAATGAAGGCTGGGGTGGATTCTCTTGTGTCTCATAAACACTTGAGTTTGATGGAGCCCTCAAGTGCATCTTCGTCCTCTATCCAGCTGCCTGCACTGTGAAACCCACAGGAACTTCATATCTTTGAAACCTCTCCCACTCTGTCAGGCTTGGCTGAAGCTTGCATGTGGTTATTGGAGCAGAGGACAGGCAAGTGCATGTTTTATTGTTCTCTATCCCCCCCCAGCATGCTTTTTCATGTGTGTGCATATATCCTGCTGCTCCCAAATCAATTTGCTGTTGAATCCTTGCTTTAGTGTAATTTAACTGGCAGGGTTGGGAACTTGGAGGCTTTCTTTTCTTTTTCTTCTGAGTTGTTTCCTTCTACTGTTTTATGAATATTCCATTGCTCAATAACGGGAGGTGGAAAATGAAATCCCAAGATCATCTTTTAAAGGATGTTAATGACCATGAATGTAACCAATATAGTTAATAACAGTCCAGGCAGAGATGGAAGACCATTCCCTTCTTTTGAGTTAAGGGCCAACATAGCTTTCTGATTATCCCTACTAGAGAGGGATCTGGATATTAAAGGATAAGTCATGCTAAGTATTTCCTTCTTAGACTCCTTATTCATTTATGCCTACTGGTTTTTGTCATCTTTAAAGGTGTTGTTTAGCCTGGTTTGAATTACTTTAAACCAAAAAGTTTTAAAAGACAGCTTTTGAATCCATGGAGATGTTTGCTAAATCCTTTGATTAAAGGGATGGTGTTTTTCATCTTTAAGTAACATTTGGTAATGTTAACAAATAAGTAAGAATTATTCTTAATTTGAAGTGTGAAAGGGAGGGATGAGGACATAAGATTTCAGGAAGCTCTACTTGGTGGAAGGGGTAGCATGTGTTTGGTTTTCTTGTGCTTTTCTGAGTTAAGTATTGGGAGGCTCAACAATGACGTACCATGTCATGGATCCCAGCATGGAATTCTTAATGGGGGGGAAAAAAAATAAATAATTGTTTCCTTTCCATAAAACAACAACCAGCAGAAATCCAACCCCCAACCCCCCCCTGTATTTTACCCTTGGAGCAACGAGGAGATAAGGAAGTATTGGGCAGAGGGAGAAACAAAGCCCTTTGGCTAGAGAGGCTGTTGCCTCCAGGTTTCTCTCAGCTCCACCTCTTTCCTTTGTCCCTGTGTTCTTCAGTCTCCTCCTCCAGCCTAGCTGCCTCTTAACCTCATTAATACTTTGCTTTGATGGTCTTAAGTTCTTGACAATTTATTCCAGATGTTAGCTACTTTGAGTGAAATAGATTTCCCAAATTTCCTGTTTACTCTTAATGTCTTTTGTCTTTTTCTTCTTTGAAAGTGTGACATTTTTTTTAACCTCTTAGCAATCCAGACATGTTAGTTCACTGTTCCACCCCCTCTTCCTCCTGGCATCTCCTAAAGTTTGTGGTGCTTTCCACAGAATGCACACTCCTTATTTGTTGTCTTCTTGTGGGGCAATCTTGATCTTTTTCACCTTCCTTAATTCTGCACACATGAAAGTCTGATTCAAAAGTTTCTTAGGTGTGTTCAGTGTTGCTTTTTTTCCCTATGAGTGCACACCCAGAGGAGAGCAAGAAAACTATGGAGAGAGAAAATTAAAAAATCATACTTTTTGACAGGCTCCAGACCAAATGCCCTTCAAACATGGGGTCTTGCTTGTTCCTTCGGGTGCTTTCCATGAATTACCTGGAGAGTTTTGAGTAGACAGAGCTGGGCTGGCACTGCTCCTTGAGCTGCTCAAGGTGTAGAAGTTGGGCTGGCACAATTCCCTGTACCAGGAGTGCAGTTGGAGCAGCACAACTGACCTGGGAATGGCTGTGCTGTTGGAAGTTCCCATTACAGCAATAAAAATGTGTCCATTTTAAAGTGGTTGTATGGATTTAATTATTCTGTTGTTTTCTTTAAAAATAAAACCAAAAACAAAACAAACCTTTAAGTGAACCAGGTTTTCAAGTACAAAAGCTGTGCCTAGACCAGGCCTTAGGCCTCAGTCTTGCAGACACTTTCACAGGTGCTTAACTTTACCATTATGAGTAATCCTATTGATTTTCAACGGCACTGCTCAGGCAATAAAGAGTGGATTTGTATGATCTGGGGCTTACCATGGGGTATATCAGGAGTCACTCTTCTGAAATTAATGATTACATGGGTGTAAGAGGAGTGTCCAGCCCAGGATTTAGTTGAAATTAATAAGACTTTTGCTTGTAGGCTTCCTTTGAAGTATTTAGCTGTCCTGCCTGCTCCTTTGAGTGCTGTATCTTGAAGGCCAGTCATTTTTTTGACTTTTGTTATGATGACCTTCAGAATAAATATTCAGGTAGGACTTGGTGTACTGTGACTTTCTATCTCTTGGCTGCTTGTAACTTTCCATGGAGGCTCTTCCAAGTGTCAGTGCCTTTGCAATGTCATTTTTGTGCTGTCTGAGCTCACTCTGCACGTTTCCAGCCTCTGGATCTCTCTTTTCTGTCCAGTGGCCTGTTTTCATGAAACTTGTGGCAATGTGACAGCTCTGAAACTCCTGTCTCGCTCTCAAATTGGGCTGAAAGCAACCAACTCATTCAAAAGTTATTAGAGATGCATGCTCATGCACACCATGATCATATATATATGCAGTATTTTTGAAGGAAGTCAGGCAGAAAAAATAAAAAGTGATTTGATTAAGGATAGATGCATTATCATGTTTCATGAGCTTGAAAAAAATTACTTTTCTGTATGGCTGGTCTTACAAATATGCTTTACCCCAATTTATCTTTTACCTCTCTTAACAAAAACAGGCATAAGGTTATTATTTATGCAAAATATAAGGGAAAGGTTCTCCCCACAAGGGTGCTGGGCACTGCCCAGGCTCCCCAGGGAATGGGCTTGGCCCCAAGGCTGCCAGAGCTCCAGGAGAGTCTGGAAAATGCTCTTGGGGATGCACAAGGTGGAACTGTTGGATGTCTGTGCAGGGGCTGGACTGGATGATCCCTGTGGGTCCCTTCCAGCTCAGGGCATTCAATGTTTCTATGAAACAGAGATGGACAAGCCTTTTTGGAAGCAACAGAAGGAAAATTCCCCTCTTCAGTATTTCAACAATATAAATGTAGCCTTGGCATAAGGGCTGAGAGGTCTGTGCCAGTTGCTGACATGGTGGATGAGTCATTTCTGCTCAGGTGTTTGCTGGAGAAGGAAATCTTTGAGTTCTTAGAGAAATACTTGGGGGGAAATGGCCCTGTTGTGTTTAAGCACCAGGAATCTGACATCCAAGCCAGCTTTGTCCCAGCTGCCTGTGCAGCAAATCACCAAAGGGAACGGGGATTTGACTCAATCCAATTTTAATTTAAGGAGTTTCAAAATAGGTAAAGAAAAACAACAAACCCTCCCCCAGGTACTGAGATTGGGAAGAGAACATCCAGCTTCAGCTGGAGTGTGCAGGAAAGGAATATTCAGTGTGAGAGGGTTTATTCTGAATGGCTGCAGCACCTTGTGCTGCACAGCACTGAGTGCTGCAATCCCAGCTCCCAAACTGACTGCTGCAGTTGTGCAAGGAATGCCACAAAGTTCTGGCAAGAACCTGAACAGTGAATTTTGCAGAAATTGTGGTGAATTTCCACTGAGGTCAGCAGGAGCAGGTGAGCACAGGCTTGGTTGGATCGTGCTCTTTGGCACTGTGGATGCACTGGGGAACCAGGGGTAGGGATGCAGGACACCAGGTGAAGATTGAGTGTCCCAAATTCTGTCACTGACTCAATAAACTCTTGAACAAGTGGCTTTTGCACTTGTCCATTTGATTGTCTTTGGAATAATTGTGGCACTTTGTTAGGATTCCTGGCACTGTGCAAGTGGATGCTTTGCAGGAACCTTCAAGACCCTCAGGAATTGCCAGGTAGATGATGATAACTTGCATATCCATTATTTTCCTGGCCTGTGTGGAATTGCCTTATCCAAATCCAGTCTGCATTTAAGTTAAGTTCACAGGACAAATGTCAAAAATTCAAGCTCTGAAAATGCTGCTTCTTTCCTGTTCAACAGCGTTTGCTGCCGGTGTCATCATTCTGCCTCTATTTTGTGGAGATCTGTGGGGCTTTGGAAGGGGATAAAAGTCACAGCTGGTTTTTCTCCCTCCTGTAGGTTGTAAGACCAGACTCCTGGGTGCTACCAGGAATCTTGCACCTTCCCCAGGGTGAAGGATGGGATTTCTAGGTCTTGGACAGCCCCAGGGGCTGCTGCCACTGCCTTACTCCTTCTAAGTATTGTTCTTGGGGCACTGCCACTGCTACTGCCAGGACTTGAGGCTCCAGCTCAGCTCCTGCTGGTGCTGGCTCAAATGCCTTTTCCTTTATTTGCAGCTCTCTGGTCACACATTTGTTCACTGCAAACCTGGGGAATGTGAGATTGGGCACTACTTGTCTTAAAATTTCTTTTCCCCTCTTCATTCACTGTTCACCATTTTGGAGATGAGGCTGAAGGGAGACACACTGTGCAGAAATCATGTTTATTTTGGGAATGATCCATGAGGAATTATTTCAGTCATAGCCTTTGGTTACATTAGGACTGAATAGTATGTCCATGTGAGGCCAAACCAATAAATTTGAAGGCACCAACATCCTGTAAGAAGATCTGGTGACATTGGATGTTGGGGTAGAAAAATGTCTGTATTGGGTTGTTGGAGCTATGCAGCTATTCTAGGATTTTGCTGTTAGCCTAAAAAATAATTAATTCCTTTTCCATCTCCATGATGCCCCTCAGGTCCTGCCTGCAAGGAGTAGGATCAGCCAACATTCTCCATGCAGGACCTTCCTCTGTCCTGTGTCATTTGGCAAAACAACACAGTAGAATCTCCAGTGTTGGTTACAAAACACTCACAATGGGCATTGAAACACACTGAATTTGCTAATATGTCTCTTCATAACTTTTATGTCTAGAAGCCCCAGCTGTGATCGGGGCCTTGTTGTGTGAGATTATGCAAATACATATTTTGTACAAACAGGATGATGAAATCACATGGAAAATATCATAATAATAGCAGAAAAAGAGCAACAGGGGAAAGCTAAAAACCACACTGAGTTGCTTCTTCAGGGTCATGTGGTGGGCCACTGGCAAAGGCAGGAACAGCAGTGGGTCTCCTGGGTTCCAGGCTGGTCCTTATCTGCCATGGCATCCTGCCTCTTCCCAACCCTCCCTGTGCTTTCCCAGCGCTCCTTTAAACTCTGCTGCAGAGCTGCAACACCAAGGGGGTTCAGCTAATTCAATTTACCCCTCATTTGTCAATCTGCTCCCCTCCCCAGAGCCCTGTGGCTGCTCTGTGCTGCTGGGAACTGAGCTGGGCTAGTTTGGTTTCCAGAGAGGAGATGGAGCAGAGCTGGGATGCTGCACTGAACCGTGGAGATGCCATCCCAAGAACAATTTGTGGTCACATGTCAGGCTACCTGGTTTAAAATTGTGTCCAACTGCTTGAGACAGGCAACTAAATACTTCTGAAAGTTATTAAATGAACCAGTTAGACCAAGGCAATATACAGGGTACACAGGCCAAAGAAAGCATTGTGGGTGTAACCTTTTGAAGGAGAATTATAGTTGCTGCTGATCAGGCTGTTACAGTAAATGTGGTGTCAGTGTTTCCATGTTGGTCTCTTTTTCTTCCTTTTCTTTTTTTTCCCCCCTTTATTTTTTCCCTGTGTGAAAAGGTTTGCACCTCATGAAAAGGTTTTCATGTGCAGCAAAATGCAATGTGAAACCACTGGAACTTTGTTACCCAAAGAATCTGATCTTTGTTACCCAAAGAACCTGATCTGATTCTACACACACGAATCTGTGTTGTTTATACAGGGATGAAGCAGCCTTTAAAACTGGGATTTGGACCTGATGCCAACCACCCAAATATTTGGGGGAGCTCAGCTCACACTTGATTCTCCCTGTTGTGAAAAGTATCCCCTTGGGTTGCTGTTCAGCACTGGAGAGGGGACAAATCCTTGGGTCAGGTACAGCTGTGTGGCTCAGCTCTGGGGACACAAACTGCTTTGCTGTGTTTGCGATTTGTCTTGGTGTGAGGTGGCTGGGATGAGGGCAGGATGCTGCTGCATCCCCACAAAGGGCTCTGTTACTGGGCAGGCTCTGTCTCAGCCCACACAAATGTGCTGTACTTGATTAATCACCTTCATTATGGTCATATTCTCACCCAGCCAGGAGCAGGGCACCGTGCAGAACCAGCCTCCCTTTGTTTCCCCTGGAACTGCCAACCTGTTTCCCCAGGCCACACCTCCTTTCTAATTTCAGTGACAAAATTAGGGAAAAACTGGTTTGCATCTTGCTCTTCCATCCGCCTGGGCATGTCTGGGAATCCCTAAGAATGACTGAATTCAGTGGTTTTCTTTTTTTTTTTTTATTACACACATCCCACAATAACTCTGAAGTAGCTTCATAATGGAAATGCTGACACGACTCGATCGCCTCAGCCCTGGGAGTGTGTTCCACCTTCTATTGTTTGCCTTGGCCTCTGTAAATTGTATATTGCCTCAGTTTAATTGGTTAATTTAATAAACTTCTGCACTGCTGTATCAGTTGCCTGGCTTAGCTTTTATCTACCAGGCTGATGAAGAAAGTATAAGTTTCAAAAGCTTTCCTGCATGAAATTAATCAAATAAAAGGTATCTCCTACTGTACTTTGCATGTATGTCTTGGAAAAACTACTTGAATTGACACATTTTTACAATTAAAATATTTAACAAAATCCTCTAAAAATCTCTGTGTAGATTTAGAAAAAGGAATTTTGCACTTAAGGCTGTGTAATGCTTCAGAAGCCACATCTGAATGATACCTTACTCCAAATGCTATTTTAGATGGACTCTTGGGACTGCAGAGAGGGGAGAAAAGTGGGGAAAATGCAACAGGAATGATCAGAAAGTATTATGGAATGGAAGTCTTGCAATCCAGCCATGTGTGAGGCTTGGGTGACCTGTGCTCATTTTCTGCTTCTGGCTGAAGCTCCTCACAGCCACCAACAGATCCTTTAACACCTCTCTGCTTTGTTCCCAGTTTTTCCCACTCTGAGAATCTCACCAATTCCAGTTTAGAGGTTTGGGGCTCCCCTGATGCAGTGGGGCTTTTCTTTCCCTGAGCTGGAGGAAATGAGGAGTCAGAAAGCTCAGTACCTTCACTGTGGGTGCAGCAAAGCCTCTTCCAGGCCAGTGCAGAACCCTGGAGAGGCCCCATGTCAGGGAGTGTCTGTGCTCAGCAGAGCCACAGTAACACAAGCCCATCTTTAGCTATTTTAATCCACAGCTTGAGCATCCCAAGATTTAGGGGTATTCATCTATCAAGAGTGATTTAGATGTACTTGATCATGCCTCAGGGCAGGGGAACAGCCTAGGTTACTTCTTGATATCCCTTCCAGCCCTGTTTTTTTATGACTCTATTAGATCTGACAACAACAGAATCATATACTTTGTTCCAAAGGCTCCGTCCATTAATTAGTACTTTGTGGTGCACAGCTCCTCTTCCCTTGAGGAGCTCTAAGAGGTTGACAAGTGCTAATTAAGTCCTACAAGAACTGGTGTGTTGGGTAATTATTATTTTACAGGTAGAGAAACTGAGGTGCAAATGTAACCCACAGGAAGTTTTGGGACAGAGTCTCACTTCGATGCTTAGCATTTTAGCTGCTTAAAATTCTGGCTGAGCTGTGCCTCTGGGCTGTTGTCAATGGAGAATAAGGTGGTATTTCCCTCCTCCTGCCCACATCTGAGCCAGTCAAGGCTGTAATGGGCTCACCAGCCACGTTTGGGCTGCACTGGCATCAGAGGGGCATTGCTGGTAAAATGAATCTGGTCTGTGTGCCAAAAATAAGTTTATTTTTTCTCTATTCCATGCTTCCTGCACTTGCAGAATTACACTGATTTTAAAGAGGAGCTGCCCCAGAGCCTTGAATCAGGCCTCTTGTGCAGAGAGGGAGGTAACCTCTTGCAGTCCACACCATTTGAGTGCAATTTTCAATAAACATTTGCCAGTGCAATTAGTCTGCCTCAGAGTTCTCTGGTGTGGAGTGATGCAGCCAAGTGGCATTTGAGAACACTTGAAGAGGAAACTGGCTAATTAGTTTAGCTCTGGGTCAACAGCACCTCAGGAGCCAGACTGGGTCTCTCTCTGGGTTGTTTGAAGTCCTCTGTTCAGTCAGCAGCGCTGGCTAAAGGAGGATCTCTGGTGTGGGTGCCGAGATGTGGCTGGAAAAGTTCTTCTTGTCCTGTACCAGGGCCATCACCCATTCCTGTCTTTCCATCTCTGATACTGCATCCCTAATAGAGATGACATGTGCTGGTATATCCTGTCTTTTGCATCTCACAGCACCTGTTTGCAAGGTTAGGTTTTGTGTAGAATTCCAGGAAAGCTCACTGATTAAAAAAATAATATTTAGTGTCCTTAACTGAATTCTGTCCCAAAGACTCAGTGATTCTACTGACTTGTTTGGGTGTGGGAAGTCTGTGCACAGGGATCTGAATTTGATCAGCTGTGGATTCTGATGAAATTTTATTCCACTACACCAATCCTCAGACCTTCCATTTGTTAAATTATCCAGCTGAATTCTCACCTTAGGTCTGCGCTTACAATTAAAGATCGATTTTACGAGAGCCCTTCCTGGCTCTGCCTGAAACACACGTTAAATGTTGGCAAACCAGGAATGCAGACCTGAGAGTACAAATTCCAGGGTGGTAGCAAATTTATCCTTGATGTGCTGCAGAGGGGCTGGTTAGACAAGTTAAACTCCAATTAGCAGCTTTCGTGTGATGGAAATTGTTGTCTTGTTGCCTCTGTCCGGCCCTGTCACGCTGCTGCACATCAATTCCCTCTCCTCCTGCAGGGTGTGGTCCCCATTAATGCTTGCATGCTATAATTTGTGGTGCTGCTCAGTTTAACAGGACCACATTTGCCAGTCCAAGCCATGCCTTGGTGAGAGGGTGAGGTGCCTATTGCACCCAGGAAGGTTTTTCCCATTCACACATGGTCTCTGGCAATCCCACAAACCGGGGTGTGATGCAGCTTTGCACGGCAGCACAGGCTGGGAGGGAATGGGCTGGTTTATCAGGAGGACAGGAGGAAGTGGTGGGAATGAGCCCCAGAGATGCTTCTGCCTCCTTTGTTCTCCCTGATGAAGAGGTTTTCTTGACTAGGGCTATATATTTGGGCTTTGCAAGTAATCTTGTCCCAAACCATGCTGGACATGCAGGTGTTCCCTGTGCTGTGTGAGGCTCCTGCCAGAGCAATTACACCATGACTGGACAGATCACATCCACAGCACTGCACAGTCCCTGTGCAGGGTCCATTTTTGGGGAATTTTGCCACAGGGTTCCAAACCTTAAACTGTCGGTGTGGTTTGGAACATCTCTCCCTGTACTGGATGTTTCAGAAATGGGGCTCCTTTTCTTTCAGAGGTGGCTCTGCAGAATGCAGAAAGGAGACAAGCATCTCCCAGCTCTTTCCAAGGAAGCAATCCCAACCTGTTCTGCTAAAGAGGCAGAAGCCAGATGGAGAGGGATGGAGAAGCATTGGGAGCAAGTAACAGCCCATGTTTTTCCCTTGATTCCAAGGCTAAAAGGCTTGTGAATGCACAGTAGCAATGAATCCTCCCCCTTCTCCACTCATTGTGAGCCAAACCTCCTAAAACCTGTCCCACTCTGTTGTGTGTCCAAATCTGAAGCCCGTTCCCACCAGGTCAGGCTGGATTTTGTGGCTGTGCAGGAGGATGGGACCATTAAGGGAAGGTGCAGTATCCAAGGGCTGCAATTGAGAGCCTGGCTGAGCAGACTGGGCAATCCCCAGCTGCTGAGAGAACAAACCAGTGAGCAGAAATGTCCTTGAGCATTGCCAAAATGGCCAACAAATCCATAACCATGTCCTAGCAGAGCTGGGCATTTCAGCCTGGGCATTCATGTGAAATCAGAGGTGAAGGACTGGCAGGGGACAGCAGCAAAGCAGTCCAGGGGATGTTAAACACCCTCTCACTGCAGCCAACCCCTCTGAGCACGTCCGTGTCCATCTGGCAGGTAATTAGCTGGATCTCTGGTGGAAGAATCAGTGAAGGGATCCCTCTTGCCACATCTCCTCGTAAAGTGACTACTCTAATTTTTGTGACATCCAGCTGGAGGGGCTCTGTATCTGTCGTTACAGACCATTAAACTCCTTCAGATCCATCCATATATTTTAAGTAGTTTCTGACCCCTGGGTGACAGTGGCTGAGTGGGATCTGATTTTTAAGATTTTTTTTTTTAAGGAACATTTTCTTGGATGGAATGAGCCAAAAAGTTTTT